TTATGTGCATGGGTGGATTTTGTGCACTAGTGACCTTCAATGTGCCATTTAAATGATGAGCTGGCACATGTACGGAAGTGAAACTGGCTCTTAGAGCATGCAAACTATTAGTAAAGTAGATATGACCTGTTAATTATGAAATCCCAAGTCACATATGCAGGACACTTCCCAAAGTCCTTCATGTGGACTTGTTGGCAGAATTTGAACAGGTTTTTCTATAGGAGGGCCTAGAACTGATGCCTGAGGAGAGGATGATACAAAAAGTCCACATTGAATTTTTGCAACTTCTGTCTTGCGTGGATGGCCCGCCCTCATGCTGCAGGGTGTGCTGCTTTTCCTTCTTATAACTGACCCAAACTCACCCTACAGAGCCTCCTTGCTTTCTTACATTTAACGTAAGTTTGCTGCCATTTGCACTTGTTTTGACCTGTTCTTTGTTCAGAGCAGAAAGAACCTAGAAACCACCTCTAGGAGACTCTAGCACCCCAAAACCTGGCAGCAGAAGGACTACTGTATGTTCATATCATTAACTTTTTCTCTTTGCCAGTCTATTTCTCCCAAGAAGAATTCACAAGTCTCCTGCTATGCAGTATATACCTGCCTGGCAGTAATTGGTGTAGAAGTGGCTGATCTCACTCTTTATCATACATATTTTCATTTAACTTCTGTTTATAGCTCCTACCTTCTGATGTTGATATCCTCACATAAAAATGACTTCTAGATCAAAATTTTTCATGAATAAAATAGAGGCAAAAATGGGGCAGTGGATGAATAAGCGTATAGGAATTACATGGGATGGGTAAGTACGTGGTCCTCAGATCCAACCGTACTTTATATATTAGTTCACCAGTCTGCCTATATTGAGCCTGTGACCATTAATTTTTGTGGTTCTTTCATGGTATGTGCTAAGCTCACGGTCTCACAACCTTTAGGAATGAAGTCAAAACCAAAGACAATGGTTAGGAGAATTTTATTGGAAACAAGGTAAGTTCCCAGATTTACAAAAGGGGTTCCAAGATGGTGGCTGCATGGCCCCTCAATTTAGAACTAATTATAGATAAGCAGAGCACAAGATCACTCAGTTGTTTAGCAGCCACTGATCACTTGAAGCTCTGTGGATTTAAAATGACCATCTGGAACTTAGGCTCTCTAATCCAGTTCCTCGGCGTACATAATTTAAAACAAATGGATTATAGAGAAAAAATTGTTATTTTGCACTTTAAATTCCTTAAAACCGAGGGGCTTAGTAGGGAGGGGCTATATCTCGCTTTAGTAGGCAGTGAGTTGTATTCCCAGAAAAACAGTTCCAACCAGAAGTGCTACTTTTGATTCTTCTTGCAAGGACTAAAGCAGGTTTTTGATAGACAGCCTCGAACTGGTGTCAGCCTGTAGATGGAAAATAAAAAAGACACTGACCTTTAAACTCTTGGTGCTTGCTCTCTCTTTCACAGTGGTCTACTCTCACCCTGTAGGGTGTACTTTTTCTTATTTTTAATTGGCTGGCACTTGCTCTGTGGAGTGTGGAGTCTTTTCCTACCTTTAATAAATGTAAAATCTCACTGCCTTTTGCACTTGTCTTAACATATTCTTTGTTCAGGGTTAAAAGAACTTAGAAAACACCTTTAGAAGGAAACCTTGGAACCCTAAAATCCAGGAACACATCGATCAGTCCCAAGATTTCAGAACAATTTTCCAAATATCATAGCCTACTAAAAGTTTGTTTGGGGCGTCAAGAAAGGCTGTGTATCCAAGTCTGGATACACAGTGGTTCCACCAACCACTATCCCTTTCAAAATCATGATGGTTGGTGGAGTTGGTCAGGAATAAAATGAGGCAACTAGTTTTTAAAAGATAATAATGTACATTTTTAAATAAATAATACCAGTTTTATCACTTTCTGCTTAGAATATTCAGGAGCTGTAAAAGAGTTATGTCATAGGGCTCTCTGTCCAAGTCTTTGCTTTTACCCTGATCATTCACTAGTTATGTTTATTCATCTGTGCTGCTTGATGATCCATGAAGTTCCTTAATTTTTATATAAAACTTTAATCTTCTTTTATATTATATTCCAGGGTGATTTCTTTTCTCTTTCCTTCCTTTTTCTTTCTTTTTGGTGATACTGTGGATCTTTTCATGAGCTAATCCTGACATTTTTTGTTTTTTTATTTTCAAATAGGGTCATCTTTTTTGTGTGTGTGATATCATGGGCTCTGCATACGCTACATCCTTTTTTAACTTTTATTTTTTAGACAGGGTGTTCTTAAATTGCCCAGTCTGGGTTCAGACTTGAGGTTATCTGCCTCTCCTTTCCAGAACTACAGAAGCGCATTACCGTGCCAAATCTTCTAGGGTAGTTTCTCATAAATAATAATAATTAAGCAAAAATAATAACTTAGAAGTGGGAGTGGATCTTAGGAATGATTTGACCCAATTGTTTCTTTTTATAGATGAGAAAATTGAGAGTCAGAGAAGTGAAATGACTCACTGGGTATAGAATGAGCAGTGACAGAGCCTCAAAAGCAATGTAGATCTCAATCTTCGGCAAAATGATGCAATTGTCACTTAAACTATTTTATTCATATTGAACACATGGATTAATTAATTAATGAAAGATATATTTACTTAGCATCTATTAAGTTAAACTGTCCATTAGGATATAGAAAAGTAACAGTAGTGATCCATCAGCAAAATACAGCCTATCTGGGACCTGGAATCCGGACATCTGGAAAATAAGCACTAGGTGAAGAGAAATGGAAGAGCGGATCTCTGTGAACTGGGAGGGAACTGACTGGCAAATTGAAACCACACAAAAAATGAAGAAATAGCACACAATGCAGAGAAAAAATAAAAACAATCTAGAAGCTCATTCTGGCTCCCAGGGAGGGGAACATCTCTACAGACACCAGGTAAGCCCGCAAGGTTGGAAGCACCAGGTAGAAACAGTGAACCTGGATAGCAGTGCTAGCGCCAAGAAATGCCCATGACTGTTGTAAACTACAAAAACAGTCCAGGGTTTTACTGTGAAGGGGACTCCTTCAGTACTGCAAGCTATGCTTTCAGAAAGACTCCATTGTAGCATCCATCATGTTTGGGAGTGTTTAATCAGGAGCCAGTTGAGAAAGGAGTTAATTATTTAAGATTGAGGTACTCATTTTGTAGCTTTGATACAACTATGCAAAACCATCTTTCTCTTTCCCTCCTTTCCTCCTTCTTTTCTTCTTCCTTCCTTCCTTCTTTCTTTCTCTTTCTTTCTGTCTTTCTCTCTCTCTCTCTTTCTTTCTTTCTTTCTTTCTTTCTTTCTTTCTTTCTTTCTTCTTTCTCTCTTTCTTTCTTTCCTTTTCACTGCTGTGATTGCAGCTAGGGCTTTGTATTTGCAAGGCATGCTACACTTTACCAGCTGAGCTGTACCTGTACTTCTGACCTTTCTTGGTATTTCTTCCATCACAAGCGTCAACATTAACAACAGTGTATCATTGGACAAAGGAATAATATTACTCTCTGCAATTTCAGTTTTTGACATGATTCCTTAGAATACTAACCCTAGAGTTTGTCCTGCTGTCTTTCCAGGTTCCCCCTAAACAGTGATCTTGGCAAGTCATTAACTGACAGTATGATCTATCTGTTTTGGTAAAGAGCATAGATTCTGGACTTAGAGTTCTGGTTCTGACTCTTGCTAACTGTGATCTTGGGCAAGTCACAAATGCCTTGGTTTCCTCATCTGCGAAGTGGAGATAGTAACAGCACCTCGTTATAGGGCTGTCATGGCTGAATATAACTACTGCAGGGGCTGGGGAATGTCACTCAGAGATACATTCCGGAATCTTCCAGCACTCAAGGAAAAATAATTTCTGTGCCTAGCATATAAGTGCACCTCACGTGACAGCCCTTCTTTCCTCCTCCTCCTCCTCCTCCTCCTCTTCCTCCTCCTTCTTCTATTATTGTCCCTTCTCTGGGAAGGTGAAGCCATAGCTTATCAGTTGATGCAATGGAGAGAAAGTAACAGAGTACAAAGAGAAAATGTAGGTTTATATTTTAAAATATTTCCTTTTACCACAGAAGGAATGATCACATTTACCAAATACAGATGATCCCGTGTTTTGTTTTTGGCATTTAATGTCAATAATTTGAGTTCTTTACCATTATGAATATATAATTTGCATCTCCCCTGTGTGTGTAAATCCCTTCAGCCTAATTAATTTTTTTTCTTTCTGGGAAGTCATCAGTACTACCTTTTCCCTGATAACCTTCCAAAATTCAGAGCAAATGGTAGGCAAATATTTACCAAGAAGACCAAATACTAGCAATACTCAAGTCTAATAAACAAAAAAAAAGAAGGAAAACAACTTAAATTTTACTGGAATTTGAGTTAATAGAGACCGTAAAACAAATAGCAAACAACTACATGAATTATATCAGAATAGAGAAAGAAACAATGAATTTGGATTTGCAGTCCAAAACTGTTATTCTATATGGTTCATAGAGCTAACCAGACACCTATTACACATTAGAAAATCCTCTAGAAATTTTTTAAACAAAAGTAACAGCTTGCATGGAATATAATTGATACTTACAGATAAATAGCACTATTTTGTGCCTGAGGAAATATTTCCATTTTCCTTAAAGATTAAATAAACTGAACATTTCACCTTGCCAATTATTAACCTGCCACATTTTTATGACTCAGTAAATATTTGGCTTCTTTCCATGTTTTAGTTGAAATCACACTTTAATTCATATCTTTATAGGTAACAGCTTACTATCCTTCATACCTATAAAACAAAACTTCAGTGGAATTTTAGTTTTACTTAATCTTCAGGTGAGCATTACTGGAGTTAAAGTACAGAAATTCTCTGGATGAGCTCATTAAAAAGAGTTAAAAATAATCATAAAGATATTACTAACAATTTTATAAAAACTCAGACAAAAAGGGATCAGTGAAAATGTAGCATTGGGATTTGTCCTTAAATCTTCTTTTTTTTTGTTTTAAAATTTCCTTCCAGTTAAACCTATTTCTTCATTTTGTTCCTGGAATAAAGCCAGAATCAACATTGTCTCTATTTCTAATCAAATAACGGAGAAAAAAAATCCCAAACAACCAACAGCACAAATTCTAATGGAGTTAGAGGATCCTGGAAGTGGTGTCTGGACCAACCTGAGCTGTGTCTCTCATTTCTGACTTTAGGCAAGTTGTTTAATGTCTCTGTGCTTTTGTCATGAATGTGATAATGCTAATTTATTTCAAAAGGATGGTAGCAATTGTAACTCAAAAAATAACCATTGCCTATGAAAGTGATCAGTTGGTTAGCAGGGAAACAGCTCCTGCAACTTTGAAAACAAATTTAAAATTATATTTTCTTTCCATTTTGAATGGATGGGAGTTAAAGGACCTGCAATTTCAACAAAATGGGAAATAAAAGGATCATATTATAATTTTCACCTCACAAATGTTTATACTTATTTCATCTATTACTTAGCTTTTTAAGGCTTTCATTGTTACTAGTTTTTTATTCTTTATAAAACCTAGTGCTAATCATATTTATACATCTTATGTAGTTATTATGTAATATATTATATAATTAGTTTTATATATATATTGAATTTTATGTTATTTATAAATGAGCACTTTAAAAGCGTGCTTTAATTTATCTGAGAGCTAGAAACACACTGGATAAAAAATTTTTAAGCTCTTTAAGATTTGAAGACAATTTATTCATTTCTGAACAACGTGGGTGATTCCATAAACACATGGAACCCGATGAAACATAAGAAGTAATTACTTTGGTAGCATTAAAACAAAGCTCAGAAAGCATATAGATTTCATAACTTAATCCTTTGACTTCTGAGACTCTAATCTGATGGTTGGAAATAAATTAAAATAATGATCTGTTGTTAGCGCAAGAAAAAGGGAATATTATGTTTACTACAAGTTCTTATCAGGTCCTTTTATCAATGAAAATGCTCAATTCCAAATAAATACCCAAATGAAAACCCAAATAAAACCCAAATCCCAAATACTGTGTACATAATTTGTTTTGGTCTTTTTGAAACAGGGTCTCACTATGCAGTTCAGGTTGGCCTTGAGCTCACTTTGGAGCCCAGGCTGATTTCAAATTTGCAGTAATCCTTCTGCCTCAGCCTCCCAAGTGCTGGGTTTACAGGCATGTGCCACCACACCTCGCTATATATCATATTTTTATACTAATCTCTTGGATTAATGTGACTATACATAGTTAGTCTATTTTATTCTTTAAGTAAGTAATTTCTCCTTCTCTGGGCCTTGTGATTTCAAAGGTTGCTGATGTTTAGCTGGATGACCTTACTTCCTTCGCTTTAATTGTGTTCTGATGGTATGTTCTAGCCTCAAATGATAATGCTATTATTTCTAGCAGTCCATAGCCTTAATGCTTTCTATTCCTAAAATATTTTTATATCTCTATAAAAATATTTTCTTTTCCATCTTAATTTTCTGAATAATGAAAGTTATTCTTGTTCCTTATTTCTGTAACATTAAAGAACTTTATAATTATATGATTATAACTGTAGTTGATTACACATTTAATGAATCTCCAGTATGCAGAGGCAGGAGAGGTTTACTTTTTTCTCTTCTTTCTTTCTTTTTTTTTTTTACTTCTTACTACTTGAGCTTTAGGATAAAATTTGAAATTAAATAAAGACTAGAAGGATATAAACTGAGATTTTAAAAATCATACTTAGTACTCACTGAAAACATTGGTTAAGCTAATAATTTATTATGATAGAGTTATGATAATGACCTTAACCTATTGAGATCACTAAATTTTAAATATCTTGGGTATTGTTTTTTTTTTACGTTATTTCTTTCTGTGTTTTATCAGTATGTCTCTTTTAAATCAGAACTAAGCTGTCACCCACTAAAATGTTTTCTTTAAAAACGACGAAAAATTTTTTTTCTTAGTTATTGCTGAAACGATAGAGGAGGCCAAGGCCATCTGCTAAGGGAAATCCGGCAAATTCAACAGACACAAAAGAATTTTGTCTGTGAGCAATTTTGTCTCTTATGAGCAACTACAAAAACTACAAAATAAACTAGGAAGCTCTAAAATTCTATTTGAGGTTTAAAATTTTCTTGTCATCCATTCAACAAATATCTTGGGTACATTCCTGGATTTAATTGTGATCCCCCAAGAGATGTCCAATCCTGACTCCTGTGCAAATGCAATTTTATTTGCGAAAAGCATCTTTGTAAATGAAACCAACCAATGCACCCATGCTAGATTACAGTAAATCCTAGTTCAACAATTTATATACTTATATGCAAAGGGAAATTTTGTTTCAGAGATATATAGAGAAAAGACAAACCAACACACTTTATCAAGAATTATCAGAAGCTACAAAAGGAAAAGGTTTTTTTTTTTTTTTCCATAGAGACTTTAGAAGAAGCACAGTCTTGGAAACACCATGATTTTGGATTTTATTCTCCACAGCTAAGAAACAATAAGTACCTAGTTTAGCCACCTGTTGTGGTAATTTGTTGAAGCAGCCTAAGAAATAAATATGACTATTCACCCAGAGTTAGGATATAGCTGTAAATAACATAAGTCAAGTTCCTCACCTCATGACTGTGGATGGGAGATGGTTGGGAGGACATTTATCACATGTATAGTGTTTCACTATATTTAGTGATAAGTGTTAAAGGGAAATGTAATCAATAGCAATAGAGATATGGAAGATAAAGCGGATGATTGTGACTTTGTACATAAGTAAATCTGTAAGGAGGTATTTTAGCAGACCTGATAGATATAGTGGAAAAAACCATTGAGATTTTTAGAAAAGTATTTTAGCTAGAAGGAGCAGTAAATGTAATACCCTGGGAAGTGTGGGCATTTGGTGTGGCTAGGAATGCCAAAGAAACCCATGTGGCCAGAACAAACAGGACTAGCAAAGAACAGTGAAAAAGAAATTGCAAAGGTGGGATATTGAAGATTATGTTACCTTAGTCCATTTTCTGTTGCTATCTGGTATCTACAGCAGATGAATTCATGAAAAATAAAAGTTTATTTAGTTCATGGTCCTGATACCTGCTCAGCATTTGGTGAGTACTTCCCGTTGGGTCTTGGCAGGGTGGAAGATACCACATAGTGAGACAGAGCAAGAACACTACAGTATTGTGCTGCTTATTAACTTACTGATTTAGTACCAGGGATCAAACTCATGACCTCATACTTGCCAGGCAGGTGCTTATGCTGCTGAGCTAAATCCACATTCTGGGTTTTGCTTTTTTAACAAAGCTACTTTCTTGGTAACCCACTGACCCACTAATTCATTATCATTAATAGGTTTATCTACTTATTGCAAGGGCAAGCAAAAACACCAAAAACATCACCTAGGATTTGGATGCAGATTTATTATGTTGATGGGCACTGATTGGGTTCATTCTCAGAGTTTTAGGCCCCAGTCTCTGGTGGTCTAGGGATTTAAATGCTGCATAAGTAGGAGGTGCAAAGGAGGTTCAAGGGCAAGACAAAATAGCCTGGCAGTTCTTCTGATCAGCTAGCAGGGTGCGATCATTGGTTACAAGGTAGATTAATAATCATCAGTTCATGAAGCTTAGTATAATGGCACAATCAGGCATCCTGTATGTTCGTTTACACTCTCATGGTGAGTTTGATTTATTTCACTTATAAATATGGTCTCAAGTTGTATCCATTTACCTAAAAAAGCCTGGATGCAATCCTTCTTTATAGCTAAGTAGTACTTCATTGTATAAAAGTACCATATGTCTTTTTATCCATTCCTCAGTTGATGGACATTTGGGTTGTTGCAAGATTTAGCTATTAGAAATTGTGCTGCTAGAAACATGGGTGCCCATATATCACTGTGGTATGATATTTTCAGTTCTTTTGTGAAAATGCCCAGAAGTGGGATAGCTCTGTCAAATGGGACCTCTAATCCTAGCTTTTTGAGGAATCTCCACACTGATTTCCACAGTGGTTGCACCAGCCTACACTTCCACCAACAGTGGACAAGAGTTCCACAGCCCCTCCAGTATTTGTTATTGGTTGATTACTTGATCTTGATCATTCTTTCTGGAGTAAGATGGAATCTCAGCATTGTTTTAATTTGCATTTCTCTAATAACCAACAATGCTGAACATTTTTCATATATTTATTTGTCATTTGTATTTCTTTATCTGAGAAGTGCATATTCATCTCAGATACCGATTTTTGGATTGAGTCTTTGAATTTTGAGGGTCTGTTCTTTTTAAATTCTTTATATAAGAACAAAGTTTTCAAAAGAACAGTTTGTTTTATACAGTTTTTACCTTTCATTATGAGGCAAGAGTCTATTTAACCCAGTCACCCCCAAGGACCCATTAAGAAATTTTTCTCTGCCATCATTATAATACTATTCTCTTATTGTAAAGGAAGATACGAAAGCATACTTTGTTTCATTTTGTGACATGGTGTCCCTATATAGTTGAGGCTGGCCTTAATCTCACAGTAATCCTCCTGCCTTGACCTCAGGAGCTGGATAACGGAAATGTGTTTGGGGTGATTCTCTGATGGTAGAGATTTGAAGACTAGAATCTATTTGCCTTTTAAAACAGTACCTAAGAACGTTTAGAAAATGTATGCTGACACTTTCTCATTCTTTTTTTTTTTTTTTTTTTGGTCTTTTTCCTTTTTATCGATACCGGGGATCAAACTCATGACTGCCTGCTTGCAACGCAGGAGCTTATGCCACTGAGCTAAATCCCCAGCCCCCACTTTCTCATTCTTGTTCACTATTATTTTTCTTTTTAACTTTCCTTTTCAAATATCCTTTACTTGTTCTAATTTTAAATGAATACTATTACTTAATAAACTGTCTACCAATTTATAACTGATCTAGCCTTTCAACTATTCAATTAAAAAATTCAGCCACAATGAATGTCATAAAATTTGCTCTGATATTTAGAACTCAAAATGTACTACAAAATTTCAAATGATGAAATAGGTAGCACACAGATATAGCTATAATTATTTTGGAGGGATCTTGGTGGTTGAATAGACATAACTTTTTTTTGTCATTGTTTTAGTCACTTTCTTGTCATGGGGACAAAATACCTATAACTCAAGGTGGAACACTTCACGAATTTGCATGTCATCCTTGTGCAGGGGCCATGCTAATCTTCTTTGTATGGTTCCAGTTTTAGTATATGTG